TCCATCCATCCATCCATCCATCCATCCATCCATCCATTCATCCATCCATCCATCCATCCATCCATCCATCCATCCATCCATCCATCTATCTATCTATCTATCTATCTATCTATCTATCTATCTATCTATCTATCTATCTATCTATCTATTTATCTATCTATCTATCTATCTATCTATCTATCTATCTATCTATCTATCTATCTATCTATCTATCTATCTATCTATCTATCTATCTATCTATCTATCTATCTATCTATCTATCTATCTATCTATCTATCTATCTATCTATCTATCTATCTATCTATCTATCTATCTATCTATCTATCTATCTATCTATCTATCTATCTATCTATCTATCTATCTATCTATCTATCTATCTATCTATCTATCTATCTATCTATCTATCTATCTATCTATCATCCATCCTTTAAACCGACCGAGTTGTCTGTTTGGCCTTCTATCATTCAGCATGGTTCATTTCTGATTCAGCAACTTATACTTCTGTGTATCCGGCTAGACCAGTGATTCTCAACCTTTCTAATGTCGAGACCCTTTAAAACAGTTCATGTTGCGGTGACCCCTAAACCATAAAAATATGTTTGTTGCTACTTCGTAACTTTAGTGAATTTGTGTGTTCTGATCGTCTTAGGCGACTCCTGTGAAAGGGTCGTTTGACCCCTCAAAGGGGTGGCGACTCACAAGTCTAGCTGGGCTAGATGAACGAACTATATTTTCAAAGGGTTACGAATTGAGCGCGCAGGCCCGTCTAACATTCTTCCCTTCCGGTTTCACCCCTGGCATTCAGTTACGAATTATTCCTAAATGTGTAAAAAAAGTCGATGGTGTTATTTTAGGACAAGTACAGAAATTTAAGTATCTGGGCACATGGATAACATCAGATGGAAGATGCATAACTGAAATAAGAAACAGAATTGGACAGGCAAAAACTGGATTTTATAAAATTAAGAACATCTTGTGCAATATATCTTTGTCACTGAGAGTTAGAAAAAGAATTCTTGCTTGTTACATACATCCAGTTTTAACATATGGATGTGAATCCTGGACAATCGGTAGGTAGGCCAAACAATTTTTGGAGGCCTCAGAGATGTGGTTTTACAGAAGAATGCTTAGAATACCTTGAACAGCCAAAAAGAGCAACCAAGAGGTTTTGAAAGAGGCGGGAGCCCGAAGACAACTTATCACAGACATCAGAAGGAGACAGTCATCATTTTTCGGCCATTTTATGAGAAGAGGGAAAATAGAACATGTTGTGACCACTGGAAAGATCGGTGGAAGGAGAGATAGAGGAAGACAACGAGAGAAGATGCTTGACAGTCTTGTTGCATGGCATGGAGGTGTGTCAGCACACGAACTGATACATGCTGCAGGAGATCGTGGATTATGGAGAGGCATGATCGCCCACGCCAGTCGGCAAGGCACCTGATGATGATACAGGTCACTTCACAGAAAATAAGAAACATTTTCAACTACACCATGTCTTCTTTTAGAAAGAAAACATCAGAGGAACTGACGAAGAGATGGTCGGACAGTGAGGTAGGCGAACAGACAGGTGTAATGAAGGAATAAAGGGGGATAGAAAGACAGACAAACGGGCAAGCCGGTAGGCAAACAGACAGACGGAGGGAAATGGGATGGATGGAAGAGCGAACCGGTGAAAGGAAGGCCTGACGGAAAGAAGGACGCAAATACAGATGGAAGGACGGACAGACAGACAGATGAAAGGAAGGAAGGACGGTCTTGTAGATGAAAGGACGGACGGACAGACAAAAGAAAGGAAGGACGGACGGAAAGACGGACGGACAGATAGACGGAAGGACGGACGGACAGATGGCATGAAGGACAGATGGAAGGAAGAACGGATGGGAGGCAAGCGGACAGACAGATGGAAGAACAGACAGGAGGAAAGGAAGGACGGACATTTTGTCCTCTCCGGATTGCTAGCTGAATGTCTGACAATCCGAGATTACACAATCTCAATCCGGATGGTGAACTAACAGGGCTATCCCAGGTACCCCCTTCAACCTCCAAATTGTCATTACGACACCGGTAACGGCGACACCAGCCGGCTGCTGACCTGCAGTACTGTGTGGCTACGGATTTTGTGATTGGAACAAATATTCAGTGACCCCATCACAAGTACATGAAACTGTCAGGCCCTAATATTCTACGCTTCGAAGCTAAAACTGTCTTTGTGGAAAAAGAAGGGGGGGGGGAGTTCGCTTCTCTCTGGTGTTGTGTTAACGGATGAGGGATGAGTTGTTTCCGCAACTAACAACGTGTGTGTGTGTGTGGGTGTGTGTGTGGGTGTGTGTGTGGGTGTGTGTGTGGGTGTGTGTGTGTGAATGCGCATATGTGTGTGTGTGAGAGAGAAATACAGAAAGAGTGAGGGAGAAAGAGAGACAGGGAGAGACTAGGGACCACAAAGTTTGTGTTCAGCAGTTTGTTTTATGTGGGATCGTGTGGTGTTAATTTCTAATTGTCTCTTACTTTTGTCGTTCCCCTCTATTTTGTTTTTCTGTTCTTTGATGTTTGTGTCTGATAATTTTCTGTACAATCATTCTTCACACACACACACACACACACACACACACACACACACACACACACACACGCACGCACACACACAAAGATCGAATGACCGAACGAATGAACGCTAGCCTTTAAAGATAACGACAGTCGAAAGGACGGATAGACAAAAAGAAAGTCAGATATCCAATAAACATACAGAGATCCAATGTTTAACCCATACAACTGAACGACTTGGGATGTCAACCCTTGTCTATGACCTCTCCCACGAGATGGCGTTGCTCCCACTCCTATCACCCGGAGACTCCCAGCAAGCATTCATGAGACAGTCCCAGCTAAACCTACAAACATACCTAGTGTCAGTGTGGACATTGTAGCGGCGACATTGTTCGGCTTCATCTACCAAGCAAAGCAACCGACAGTTGAAATACCCAAGATATAGGCTTTCTTCATTTGTTTCGTTCCTCTCAAGATCAGAGACTGGTACTTCCGCTTTTAGAAAAACCAACGGAACGACTGTCTGCAGTTAGACGTGTTTGGCACGGATATGTGAAGTGCTACTGGAGTCAGATGTCATGGGAAAACTTCTAAAGTAAAGTAGTCTAACTAGCTGTCTCATCTCGTTTGTTTTCTAATGTCATTACGGATAAGCTATCCGGGCCCGTGTGACATATTGCAGCAAATTATGTCTGCAACATAATCCTGCATTCGCCGATACAATCAGATCTGTAAAAAGTATTAACAGGGAATGCGCTTAATAATTAAATTCAAGTTTTTTTTCTGGCTGTTTACTTCTGACAGCTTCTTCTTCTTTTCCACCTTGTACCTCATCGAAGTGTCGGGGGGAGATGTAATGTTCGTTGATGAGCCCTGTCAAGAGCACTATTAAGACTGATGTTCATTTCTGTAAGGCTGTTCTTAATGTCATCACTCCATTTTTTTCCGAGGTCTTCCACTCGCTCTGTACCCGTTGTAACAACCGTCTGACAGCAACCGCATACAATTATATACTCGGAGACTGCCAGATCATACAGCAGTTGTGATGGTGAACGTTGCTCCTCTCTCAGCTAGTCGAAACAGCGCGGACCACGGATTAATCTTAATCGTCACCAGGGTCTGGTTCCTCCCCCCCCCCCCACCCCACCCCCACCCTTTCTTTTTTCCCAAGGGGCTGAATGGTTTAAAGACATGGCGTCCACCTAGAGTACTGAAGGTCCCGGATTCAGGCCCAGGTGAAGGGTAGGATTTTTTCCCGTGGACTTCTGGTCATTTACCCTGGTCTCTGGGTAGTCAGATGGGACGCGCGTGTGTATTGTTGCACACGTTAAAAAAAGCCTTTGGCAGTTGGAAATTGAAAAAAAAAGCAGCCTTGAGACTGAGATTGTGTAGACTCAGACTTGAAGTAGAACGGAGCACTTCTGGTTTACTACCGCCATGATGTTGATCCGCTGTCGAAACCTAGCCTTCTTTTTCGCAAAGACGGATCAACATCTTCACTCGCAGGATCCGAACTTCTTCTTTTTCATCAGGATTCGGATTTGGTTGTTTTCTTTTATTTCACCCCATCTCGTAGGCTATGGAGATTTCCTAACGATTTATTATCGAGTCCCCGGAAAAGTCTCATATTCTTGGGGTGTTTTCACGTGACTAGGTTCTGTGTTTATACAATGTGTGCACTGGATATGTGCTTAAATGTATTGGTTGTTTTCAGAAATTACTGCGTCATCATTTTCAGTGTGTGTTTCGTTGGTTCGTGTGATATGAAGACCAACTTGAACTAACCCTAACACCCCTATTCTATGAGACTTTCGAGGGAATCCTCACGAAATCTCAGAGTTCCCGGGATGGGTTGAAATAAAAGAGAAAAGCACTCAGCTTTTTCTACACAACCTATCTTATGCCCCCCACCCCCTTTTATAAAAGACATGAACGTATTGTCCAGGCTCTTGTCCTGCACGGTCTTGTCTTCTCCAGGACCAACTTCTCGGAATGACAGAGGATGACAGAACTGAAAGAACAATGGAATGGGACAGAATAACTAAAGACATATTTTTTTTTTTTTTTTTGAGGCACATGTTCTTCTTACATTCAGCTTTTCCAGCAACTCATATTTTGTAAGATAAAATGCTAAAAAGAAGGTAAGGGGGCATTATGTAAACAGGAAGGAATGAATAGAGAAACATGGACAAATAAACAGTTGCATATCTTTTCAGTACTTGCAGAACCAACTTCAGCATTTTGTTGTTGTTTGAGATTTTACTAGAGAATTTTTATGTTGAGCAATTTGCAATTTCCCATGATTCGCTGGCTATTTATACCGCTGATGAAATCAACGTAAGCAGTCTGCTGTCAAATCACCCGCAGCTGGGATCGAAAACGGTACTATCCGCGTTAGAAAAAATAAATACTGGGTTATTTTAAATAACAAAATGAAGAAAATGTAGATTACCTACCTGATATAATCGTTCCGACACAAGATCATTCCGGCTTTTGTGAAACATGAGGTGCCAATCTCTCCGAGCTGTGCCTGGCAACACGAGCACTTCAAACAGCCCGTGTGCCAGTACCTGTCCATTGCCAACAAGAGGAACCTGTCCTGTATCCTGCCACCACAGCCTGCACACGCTTTGGGAACCCCTGACTGGTTCACGGTAACCGCACCGTTTGGGGTAGGCGTCACGCCTGGACCCATCATGGGGGAATTAACGTTGATGGGGGAAACCCGATAAATCTGGGGACAATCCGTTTGCTGTGAGGGAAAATCCTCTGAGTTAAAAATTCCGACTGAAAACTCCTGCAGTTATGTTGCCTTTTTGTTCACCCAAAACGTGTTATCTATCTGTGTAATTAGGTCGGCCAGATAGAAAGCTGGCAGCTGGCAAATAAACATTAAGGAAGATTTGAGTGTGGGTTTATTTCTGTATGGTGTCAAATGGGAATGTCAGCATCAGTATGTCCCATGACAGTTTTCCGATTGGTGTTTTCTGAAAGTCCAGCCGTTAGGTAAGAGACTGACGAGTCACATTAACACAAGCAGAAACTGTGATCCTGCGTGTGTTGACGTCATTTCCGTTTGATATACTTGCAACCTGATCTGAAAAGACAGAGAACAGTGAAGATCAAATATTGTCAATAATTGTGACGGTCTGACAAGAGCAACCCACCCTATTCCTCAATGAATTCTAGGGGAACTGAGCGCCCCCCCCCCCCCCTTTCCTCTCTTCCCCACAGACTCACCCCCACGCCATCCAAGAAATGCGTAGGAGAACTAAAAAGTAGAAGCTGACAACAGTAGCTAAGGAATAAAGCTGTCTCTTATTGCGTTGTTATCAGAAGACTTGGTCGTTACACAACTGGACTATGGCTGAACAGCCACCTACAGACAGACAGACAGACAGACCGACCGATCGAGAGAGAGAGAGAGACGGAGAGAGAGGGGGACGGACGGACCGACCGACAGGCAGGCAGGCATACAGACAGACATACCGAGAGAGACGGACGGACGGACGGACGGACGGACGGACGGACCGACGGACGGACGGACGGACGGACGGACGGACGGACGGACGGACGGACGGACGGACGGACGGACGGACGGACGGACAGACAGACAGACAGACAGACAGACAGACAGACAGACAGACAGACAGACAGAGAGAGAGAGAGAGAGAGAGAGAGAGAGAGAGAGAGAGAGAGAGAGAGAGAGAGAGAGAGAGATAGATAGATAGATAGATAGATAGATAGATAGATAGATAGATAGATAGATAGATAGATAGTAGATAGATAGATAGATAGATAGATAGATAGATAGATAGATAGATAGATAGATAGATAGATAGATAGATAGATAGATAGATAGATAGATAGATAGATAGATAGATAGATAGATAGATAGATAGATAGATAGATAGATAGATAGATAGATAGATAGATAGATAGATAGATAGATAGATAGATAGATAGATAGATAGATAGATAAAAATGAATGCTAACAAGATTTGTATACAACAGAAGACACAAGAAATGAGATGAAAAAGAGAACAACTAGTTTTCCTCATAAATCCAGCAGCATAATACAATGACAAAGCTGCTTAAAAACCCGCGAAAACCTGCATAACAAATATCTAAATATATTCAAAGCAAACCTCCGGGGTGAGTCCAACGGTCGGTAATATCCACATATTCTTGCGGCTGTCTGCGTTGATTAAGACAAACGCAGCTTCCAAATGAGATGAGTTCTGTCGGAGATCTGTGTACGGCTATTTACGGCTGTTTCGTTAATGTGGTGACTCATTAAATATTATACAGGAAATGAGCTGACGAGGGAACTCTGGGGAAAGTGGACGGTTGGAAACCATGTTTGTTACCAGGCCGGTCCGGTTGTTTTGACTTTTTTTTTGCGTGTGTGAAGGCGTAATATCCGGATTGTTCAATGGCTTGGGGAAAATATTTCCTTGTTGAAATGATGGATTCAGAATTTCTCTTCTATCCTCGTTTCGATGACATCGCTTCGTTTATGATTACATAATCAGGCGAACGTTGTGATGATTCTTCAAACGTTCTTCTTCCTCTTCATATTATTACAGTGTAGCATTGACTGTTATGTCTTCTCACTGTCTTAAGCACTGTGAACAGTTTTCTTGCTACACTTATCTCTCCCCCCCCCCCCCTCCCCCGTGATACCAATCTGTTGAACAGATTATTTTCTGACCTCACTCCCTGCGGCCCCCCCCCCCTCTCCCAAACTCTTCTATTATCAGGGGTTACACGAGTTTCCGGAGTCTCTGGATTGGCCCAACAACTGTAGATCAATCATTCTGCTGAGAAGGTCAACCGGATCTCTTTGTGGAGGATTTCTGTCAAGACATTATGACACGTTGTATCAGCCCAGGACACTTTCGCCTGTCCTCTGAAGAGCACCATCACTGCATCTCGCTAAAAATGCCCCGCTGACCAGCCAGATGTCCACGCTTCATTTGCTGTTCTTATGTCCGCTAAACTAGACATGTAATGGTGGTTGCCAGTTTAGAAAATCAACAGTAACTGTCATCGGAGAGAACAGTCCTTTGTGACAGGCCCAGTCCGATGTTTCTCAAGGGAACATGCACCAAAGACTCAACAATTAGAAGACGTCAAAGGTAGATCAGCTTTACAAAATTATTCTTCTTAATTTGCCCTGAATCCCTCAATGGAGCATAGGAGCTCAACCCGTTCACGCTGTTGTCCTGTTCACGCAGCTCATCCTATACCCTCCCCCTACTCCATCTTTTCTAATTTCACTCTCTATTTCCCTTCCCATTTGTTTTTTGATCTGCCTTCATTTCTATGCCCCTGTTTGTTGATCTGCCCTCATTTCTATGCCCCTGTTTGTTGATCTGCCTTCATTTCTATGCCCCTGTTTGTTGATCTGCCTTCATTTCTATGCCCCTGTTTGTTGATCTGCCTTCATTTCTATGCCCCTGTTTGTTGATCTGCCTTCATTTCTATGCCCCTGTTTGTTGATCTGCCTTCATTTCTATGCCCCTGTTTGTTGATCTGCCTTCATTTCTATGCCCCCCTGTTTGTTGATCTGCCTTCATTTCTATGCCCCTGTTTGTTGATCTGCCTTCATTTCTATGCCCCTGTTTGTTGATCTGCCTTCATTTCTATGCCCCTGTTTGTTGATCTGCCTTCATTTCTATGCCCCTGTTTGTTGATCTGCCTTCATTTCTATGCCCCTGTTTGTTGATCTGCCTTCATTTCTATGTCCCTGTTTGTTGATCTGCCTTCATTTCTATGCCCCTGTTTGTTGATCTGCCTTCATTTCTATGCCCCTGTTTGTTGATCTGCCTTCATTTCTATGCCCCTGTTTGTTGATCTGACCTCATTTCTATGCCCCTGTTTGTTGATCTGCCTTCATTTCTATGCCCCTGTTTGTTGATCTGCCTTCATTTCTATGCCCCTGTTTGTTGATCTGCCCTCATTTCTATGCCACTGTTTGTTGATCTGCCTTCATTTCTATGCCCCTGTTTGTTGATCTGCCTTCATTTCTATGCCCCTGTTTGTTGATCTGCCTTCATTTCTATGCCCCTGTTTGTTGATCTGCCTTCATTTCTATGCCCCTGTTTGTTGATCTGCCTTCATTTCTATGCCCCTGTTTGTTCCGGTTACAATGGGTTTTTCTTTTTCTTTTTACAAAATTACGGTTATATAAATAGTCCATTTTGCGACAGCAAGCCTTTATAAGCTACCAAGAAATATACAAAACATGAAAGAAAAACACAGGCAGTAGGATAAACACATCAAATACAAAATATACTTAAATAATAGTGCACTGGCTGAGCAGCAAGACCAGATCACAGAGCAAACAGCAGTTGTGTGCCAACAAACAACCTAAACCACTAGCTTTTAACATCCTAAAATATCAACACACAACATGAACCTCTTAACAAACAACAAAAAACACCAACAAACAACCCAAACCTCTAAATCATAATCTAAGCCACTAACAAACAACAGCAAACCATTAACAAAAAATCAAAACCAACCCCCCACAAACCATCAACAAATAACCAGAACCACCAACAAACAACAAAACTATCAATAAACAGTTCCAAACTGCCAGCACACAACATAAACCGACATCAACAACAATCCAAACAGCCACAAACAAGCAGCCCAAAACGTCATCAACACAAACCAAACCACTAACAACAACAAAGCCGTCACCAAGAAACAACCCAATTCGCAACCAACAAGCATCACAAACAAGTAACAAACAAACCAAATCATCATCAAACACTCCGAACAAGTTAAATCTTCAACAAATGACTCACGCTTTGAAACAATCAACCCAAACTAATAAAATACCAACAAACATGACAACCAGGACAGAATGTAACCCTTGAAGACACCAAACCCCGAAATAACAAAAACAAAGGAAATAGCAGCAACAAACAGTCTAACCATTTAAAAAAAAACCGAGACCAACAGAAACAAATAACAAAAATAAACAATCCAAATCACCAATAAACAACCCAAACCACCAATAAACAACTCAAATCACCAATTAACAACCCAAACCACCAATAAAGAACCCAAACCACCAATAAAGAACCCAAACCACCAATAAACAACCCAAACCACCAATAAACAACCCAAACCACAAATAAACAACCCAAGCCACCAATAAACAACCCAAACCACCAAAAAACAACCCAAACCACCAATAAACAACCTAAGCTATCGATAAACTGTCACCAACAAACAATTGAAACCACAAGCAAAGAAACCGAACCTCCAAGAAACAACCAGAATCCCAAATAATCAAACTACAATACCAATAAACAACCCAAACCGCCTACAAACAACCCAAACTATCAAAAAACATCCCAAACCACCAACTAACAACCTAAACCACCAATATAAAACCCAAACCATTCAACAAACATCCTTAACCATCAACAAAAACCGAACCACCTAAAAAAACAACCCAAACAATCAAAAACAACCCAAACACCAACAAACAACATAAAATCTCCAACAAACAACTCAAACCATCAACAAACAAACCAAACCATCAACAAACATCTAAAACCATCAAAAAACATCCCAAACCACCAAAAAACATCCCAAAACTATCAACAAACAACCCAAACCACCAACAAATAACCTAAACCACTAAGAAATAACCCAAACCACCAACCAACAACCCAA